TTAACTAAGACTGTACACAGTAGGTATTTAACACTAGGTCTGATAAAAATTACCGTTGCCCAATCAACCTTTTTAATTTGACCGTTGCATTTGTATATACCAAATACAAACAAGGCCGTCAGAGTGGGCTCATCAACGCAATTGGGCGTATGCCCGGCTGGGTCCGAGTGCCCTTCGTGATAATTCGCAAAATTACATCCATTTATCGTGTTTGCGTACCGCTTTATTAATCTTTTTGAGGTCGCATGCTATACGCCGCAATGTCATTACATTAAATACGATAAACGGTGAAAGGTCACCGATGATAATCCAATGATATTTCAATAAAACATTTTGACGGTTTAAAATGCGAAACAAACTTTCGACGTTTAATGCTTTCCAGCTCTCGTAATCACGGGAGACTAAAGATGGCGGGGTGTCTCGAATATCGACGTAGTTGAAATAATTTTTTAAATAAGTTTAACTAATATATTTCACGTTTTAAACCGTTAGAGTGGTACGGTAACATATGGACAAGATTTAATCCAGTGATCCGAATAGAATCTATGTTAAACTCACAGTAGCTAATCTCATAGAGCACTTAACTCTTTAGCCACATTCGGAACTTTTAAATGTACAATTTTAACGGTTAAAACGCGAAATATCCCGCGATATATCGGTTTAAAACGTCGGGCCATAGAATAATTTTCAAATAAGTTTAGCAGATATATTTTGTGTTTTAAACCGTTAAAATGGTTTGTTTAAACGATTTGCGTAAACTACAGATTCTACGTTAAACGTACAGTAGCAATCAAGGAGAAACAGATAAATGAAAACGACTTAACAACACGAAGCTAGGCAATCGATAGAAGAACATGGACAGAAAACTAATTCCTTAGACGTCAAACATTTCACAAACAAGTTCAGAGTCAGCGGCAACTTTGCAATAAGTTTCGAGTAGTGAAGAATTTTTCCAACGAGATCAGAGCTCGATTGACAACAACTGGGAACAAATATGATGATGTTTTTACTACGATAATTCGCTCCTATTGAACTTACACCTACATATAAAAAGTATTTTGATAATAAAGGGGGGATAGACAAGTGTGTGGTTTATGGAAGGTTAAGTACTCCAGCCATGTAACGCCTGACTACGATGCCCTGTCGACCTATTTTGGCTTTGGATATTCGGAAATAGACTGAAACCGAAACGCGATACGACTTTACGGTTTTTTCATTTTTCACCTGTTGATTGAGGTTAAAACATCAAATCCAACACGGTTCAGAAAAATAATAAATTCATAAGAAACATGTTCGACCAGCTGGCATCGAATCCACGACCCGTTTGATTGTACATTGCTACCATTAAACCAACGAGCCAAAATACAGAATACAAAAAAACAACACCTAATATATTTTAAAATGACAGACAGAAATGATAACATAAGCGTTAACAACACTCCAGTTATACAACATCTAATTCCGATGACCCGTCCATGTATTTTGGCTTTGGACATTCAGAAATTGACATATTGGAGCCGAAATGTAAATAGATTGACACATAACGGCGAGCGGAAATTTAATATTGCTTCCACCATTCCAGACACATCCAGACTTTTCCAGACGAAGCATGTTTCAGACAAATGATTATAAAAAAGTGTAAATTAAAAATCGATCCTGAATTGAAAAACAAACGAGCAGGACTTGATCCGGCATCTTCAGCGTTCCGTGCTGTTGCTCTAACCAATTGAATTTAAAAAAATACGTGGACCTAGGATCAAACCTCAACTCAAAAACCACTACTCGTTCATTACTATCTATCGTTCAATACTGTAACAGTTTAAAACGCGATATATTTTAGTTAAACTTTGGTCATAGGGAGACCACGGCTGCTGCAAAGCATCCGAAACGTCAGTCCGTAGTTAAAAATAATTCTCAAAAAAGATTTACTAAAATATATCGCGTTTTAAACCGTTAAAGTGTTTTATTTAAATGTGTATTAGTCGCTTAGACTACAATCAGTATTTTATACATTGCCTTTGGACCAGAGCATTAAAATCGAACGTCAGTAAGTGGTTTGGTAAGTTCTTCAACTGATCGCAAAAACTTACCTAAACCAACCATACAATGCAGTCGAAGTCGCGTACACTAGTACACATGTTAACACAGCCCCCTTGTTAAAGCTTTTGGAGCCAAGCACTTCAACTAGTCCGCAAACAACGTACGGTAATAGTCATCAACAAAGCGGACTGTGTAAACGGGCAACATTTTAAAAGATACTCGACAAAATTGCTTCGGCTACAAGTCATTAATCGAGCTATGCTGTTGGCGATCAGGACGTATGAGCTTTTGGAAATAGGGGTGACGACTAAATTATTTACAAAGCAAGACACGAGTATGGTGAGCAAAAAATACGACACGGGCAGGATTTGAACCGCAATCTTAAATCTACTTGTAATTTATATAATGCCATCATGTGCAACATGTAACAATCTCTTGATCCCTGACAGGCCGAAAAAATCTATTGTTTCCCCGGGATTCGAACCAGTGACCTTTCGCGCTTAGGGCAATGCTAGGCATCTTTTTAACCATTTAGCTATCGAGGCGGCCTCTAATGATTCTGAATCTTATAGTGAATCAGTAAATTGAAGTTATAAGTTAATATTAAATATTGAAAAATTGTTGCATTTATTGATTTTTTTTATAGTTTAAAGCCCTCCAAAGTACAATGAGCGTGACGTCATAATTTTCAACGGGGTAGAAAAGGCCTGTTGTTTACTTAATGGAAGGTGAAAATGCCTAAGCTCTATACTTATAGTATCTCAGATGTGCTGTCGATCTTTCAGATTGTATGACCTATCGGGGAATTCAACAAACCATTTTTAAAATTGCCATCACAAAAAAACGTTCCTTAATTTAAATCGTATAAATACAAAACTTTATAACTCGTTAGTGAAAATTAATTACTTCTAAGGAGCAAGTTTTATTATTCTATTTAATTGAGGTCTGCCTTCAAAAATAAAAGAGCGTTTTGGACTACCTGTAGAGTACACCTTATCGTCCATTTACATAAACAACTGAAAGTGTTATTGCTAAATCTACCGAATTAACTTTTAATTAAGACTGTGATACAATTTATTAAACGGTTGAAACAACCCGTGTTTTTCAAGGTCTAGAAGTCGCTTCTTATCTTTCGTGACAATTTCTCATAAAGGTCACAGTTTATCTATTTATGAATTATCCACAACAAATCGAATTGTGTTGGTATTACCAACCACGATTCTAATGAATATAGGTATTGAAGTATACAGGTAATGTAAGGAAAATGTAAACATAATTTAAGAACATCTGGCAAAAAGTTCAGAAAAATCAGTTCATAGATTATTTTTTACACAAGAAAGGGGTGCTAATTAACTGTACGTTAGTGTAGAAACTGCTGTATATGTTTTGATATGATTATCAATATTCCAATCATTGCATTTTTTTAAAGTGACATCAAAATAAAAAATAAATAAAATATACTTTATTCTCTGTAAGATTATAAAAATTCGACAAAAAATATTAAATAATATGTTTGTCTGTGTGTTTGTCGTGATTCTACAGCGTTCAAAAAGGCGACATAACCGAGAAGAACACCCTGGTTTTTTTCAACATGTCTTGTAATTAATACATTTTTGTGAATTTTATGACTTAAGGAGCAATTAATATCATTGCCAGGCAGCCCTGTCTTTAGGAAGTCTTTTAAACAATAATACGCCTTAACGCATTACGCATATTTTCATTAATCAGTAATGTCAGGTGTTTGTCTTTTTTTTAAACATCCTGAAGGATGGTCAAACACACGTAAAAAATAAATAACTTCTTAATTTCACTGTGCAAACCGTTCCACATATTATTTTTTAAATTTTCTGTTAATTTGTACATAAGTATAGTTCTAAATTTAAAAATAAACTTAGCTACTAAGAATACCTTCCGACGTTTTAAGCATCGCTAACAGATAATGATCTAAAAACACACGCTCCGCAATAAATTAACCGATCGCATTAACATATTGGAATTCTAAGCAAGACTCGCATAAATTCTTTAGGAGTTGGAACGAGCCGAGTTGTTTAAGCTTATTTATTCCAGGGACGCTATCGATTGTAATGGCTATTGAAACTGCATACTAATGGGGGCACTGGATGCACGAGTTCGCTCCTGAGGAACCTTTAGGGTCGCATCTGGGAGGGGGATAAGTGTGCCAATCTCTCGTTCAATATGATTCCTATTCAATTCTGCATTGTATGGATCATGCGTCGGGTAACGACTGCCTCTTGAAGATAATGGATAGCTTAAATGCTTGTATTGATTCTTGTTTTAGGGTTCCGTCGTGTATTTTGGTTCCAATAGTGTGTCACCATTATTAATAACAGTGCGTTTTGTCGGAGTTTTTTAACATCTACTCTACATGTGCTGTCGATCTATTTTGGCTTTGGATATTCGGGTTTGTAAAGTTATATTTCGGGACGGGCTTAACAGCACCAACATTATCATTGGATTTCGATCCCCACCGGGTCCAACATTTTCTAATCAATTAATAATTATTTTTATGAATCATGTTGGGCTTCGTTTGAAAATCTACATATTAAATGGAGGTAGGAATCATCAAATAACGAACCACAGATGAAAAAGCTGTCAAGTTTAATCGCGTTTCGATTTCAGCCTGTGGATTCCGAATATCCAATGTCAAAAATAGGTCAACAGCCCATGTTGTTTCGAAGTTATGTGGCTAGGATATTAATTCTACCATCAGGTGTCCCTTATGTTTGTCTATCCTCTTCTACCATAAAAAAGGGACATCGATGCAATGATATTCATAGTCGATGATAACGTCTTAACACTATTTCTTGCCTTTTATGTAAGTTATTGATAACTATACAACAGGTAACATTAAACTCTGTGGTTCCACCAGCATAATTTTACGAAATCTAACGTTACTTATTTAAAAAAAATCTTCTGATTAATATGATAAATGCACTCACCGTATCCGATTAGCCACTAGCAGCTCAGCAATATCCCTTCCAAGTCTCGAGTAGAGAGACTCTGCTATGACCAGCACCTTCGCGTCGATCCGCAGACGAGCGTCCGAGCGATGATCGCGGGCTGTTTGTTGTTGCGACGCGAGAAGGGAGCACTGGGACAACGGTCTGGGGATCCGGTCGCGCCACACGAGACTGCCAGAAGAAATTTTCTTTAGTGTCGGACTAGAATATAGGCTATAAGGCAGGAAGACCGTAAAACTGCGGCGACCGGAACGCGTTTAGTAAAACCGGCATTCAATTCTTACTACTTACTATTATATATATGTACAATTAATGCAAAAATTAGTTAATTTAAGTAAGTCATTAAATAATTTCTTTAGTCTATTCAAAAATAACAATAATAAAACCATATTACGTATGCTAATTAAGCCTAACATCCTCCGCTAGGGGAGAATGGGGAAGTAGGTAAATTGGTCACCAGTTTAAGTGGACCTAACCCGCGAACGGTGTCCACAATAAAAAACCTTGTCAGAAGTTAAATGTGTGGTTACATTTTAAAACGGTTCACTCTTCAAAAAAAAACACAAGATTTTTATCTATTTTTAAATTAAGTACTGTTTACGTGAGTGCACATATTGAACAAGAAGTTTTTTCTGAGTAATTGATTAGTATTTAAATAAAAAGTTTTTAACGGTTTAAAACGCGAAATATAATAGATAAGTTAATTACAAATGATTTTAACTACAGTACTTACTACACAACGAACACATTTCGCGTTTTAAACCATTAAAAACGTTTTATTTAAATACTTATAAATTACTCACAAAGGGATTATAAAGTTGTCATCCCCAAGTAAAATACGAATCGCAGTAGGTAATCGTAATTAAAACTTTCCGCGAATTGATTACTTGGTAATCTTCCGCAGTGAAATTCTGATGAAAATCAATCAAAGGCTGCCAAAGTTAACGCCGCGATTCAAGTCGAAGCCACATCAAAGAGCCATTACGGAATAAATAAAAGGCGGAAACCGTGGGAATATTTATCCATAGGCGGAGTTGTGGCCTCTTAGCAGTAATGAAAACTTTAAAGTCTGAGGAAACTTGGAATATAACTCGGCTAAGGCAACCCTTATTAGCAAGACTTGGCGATGGTAGGCGTGAATCTTGGTCCATTCTGTTAGTTAACTATAATTAGTAAAATTTTCACTTTCAGTAATGTCGGTCACGAATGCAAGGTTACGCAAAGTGCCAACAAAAGCAACATTAAATACTTTAGTTTAAGCATTTAAATAAAACACTTTAACAGTTTAAAACGTGATATATATTGTCTCTAGTTTACGCGAGTGGTAGACATTTAAATAATAAACTTTAACGGTTTAAAACGCTATATATATATTAGTTAAACTTGTTTGAAAATTATTTTAACAACGGCCCGGTTAAAAAAAGTCGAGATGATGTCTAGGGCACGGTAATTCATTACCGTGTCCTACACATCATCGTCGATTTTTTATTGGTTAGAACAACAGCACGGACAAAACTGTTTATGTACTGTGTCGTAGGTCCTTTCAGTTTATAATTAACTTGTTATTTATAAAGCAACGGTTTGAAACGCGGAATATTATAACTGAACAGTAGGCATTGATAATTACCGCAAAGTATATTGACGTCGTTCTGGCCGAAATTCTTGAACAAAAAAGAGAATCTATCCCGCCAAAAAGAAATTACCGAAGCGGCTTTCATTAATTAGCCGGAACACAAGTTTCGCTATAAATAAAGTGGGTCTGCCAAACTTGCCCTAGCTCCCCCTTAACGGTGTAAATTTAAGGCGATAAAATAAAACATTATCATCGCTACACGACATTCAACCGAATTAAATAAAAGGACATAAAACACTAGCTACTAACAACGCTCGCCCGGGAAGAATAGTTATTTTATTCATCAAAATTTGTTCTAGTAAACGTCCCGTTCAACTCTATAAATGTAAGCTGTTACCCGCGACATCGTCCGCGTCCCGTCGATCTTGCAAGTAATAATACAAAATAGACATCACGGACGGATAGAGTCACGGACATTTTATATATAATTTAAATAGGAATCATTCTGTCATACATATTTTTTGGATATCTTGATCAGTTTTCAGCGTACGCAAGGGAAACCCACAAAGATTTTTAATTTGCCCCGTTATTTTCACATTTACCATTGCCTTTTCGCTTTTATTCCTCACAGCGCTATGTTTTATAACATATAACCCTTTCTGATGTATGCACTGACCACTACAAAAATAATTTTTCAATTCGGACCAGTAGTTCTTGAGATTAGCGCGTTCAAACAAAGAAACAAACTCTTCAGCTCTATATATTAGTATAGATTGCTAGGGAACATTCGCCGACGTCCTAGTTCAGCGTCGGAGCGATCTTCGGGAGAAAGACGAATCTGCTTAATGAAAACTATAAACACGTCTTGACGTTACCACAGGGAGATTTATCCTCGAATGCAGTCAAGGGACACAATATATAACGCCAATTTAACGGCTTAAAATGCGAAATATATGTGTAATAAATTGTATACTTTTAACTAATACTATTTTGCGTTTTCAGCAACGTTTGTTTTTTTTTATAGCTAATAGTACATTTTTAACTAAATAAAAAACGTCGTATTTACACCTTTAATTAAATACACTTGTAATTACAACTTCTTAAGAACAATTATAATTGTAAATTTAAATAAAATGTAATAATCGTTTTTATTTATATATATCATATACATAACAGTCTGTTAAAATGAATTTGAGGTAGGGTTTCAAGACAAAATTTAGTAAAAAAAAGGAAACTATCTAGTCATAAGTCGTATGATAAACAAAAATGTGCAAACATTATATTCCAATGTAGTACTACAAATTAATGTAAAAGAGCAATATGCCCCAGCAACTGTCTCTTCTTATCACGATCGGACAATTATGGGTAAATTAAAATTGGTTAACATATAAATACAGGTCAAACCAAAACAAGTCTAGTTAGAAAATACATTTTGTTCCATTAAAAAATTCTCCAATGCAATGGCGGGAATGTTCAAAAATTAGTAATTAATTCAAGAGCATTTTAACAAAATGGACGAGTTTCAGCCCGCGTCAAACAATCCAACAATAGAGCGAAGGGAACTCCGCTACTCCTGTCAAAGCGGCACTATTCAATAACTTTGTAAAGCTACAAAACTCGCGGCGGCGTTTTCAATTTTCAAACGGGAATAATTATATCCATATACGGGGTGTTGTGCATTATAGAAATAAAAATTCGAACTATATCATCAGAAGTAAGATGTACAAATAATTTCCTACAATCTAAAGTGAAAAGTGGGGCATAGGGCGAACACAAATTTGTGTCCATTTCATTTATGGGTTCTTTCTTTTACAGGCAAGCATTGATTTCTATGCCTGCCCAACCGAAAAAATATATTGTTTTTCCTGAAATAGAACCTGAGACTTTTCGTGCTCAACGCAATGCTAGGCAACACGTTTAAAAATTTAGGTACAGAGGCGTTCCTAAATCCAAAAGAGGCTTCTATGTATCTACATTGCGTGCTATTTCTTTTTTTTAAACTGTTGTTTAAGTCTATACTTATCTTATTGGATACATAAATATTAAACACAACGTTAACTTTGACTGTTACTTAATTTTAAGAATTTATTGACAAAATTTTTCGACACCAACATCATATATATTAAATTCATAAGTTACTAGCCTTTTTAACCCGTAAAAGTGTTTTTTTTAAATTTAAACACCCTATATATTACCTATAGATATAGTATTTAGATTGTATCCCATCTCCAACGTATACAAAGTTATAACTTGTTAATTAAACATAATATTGGAAAGTTGTCACATCGGTCTTAATCCAAATAAAGTTTACGAATTAAACTCGAAACATCTGTAATATTCTGTCGGTCTAAGTAATTAAAGATTATGATGTAATTATTTAAAAACACTTTTGGACGTGTCCATTAGACCACGACTGAGTCGATTCGTAGTTAGTCGTAAATTAATAAACTGCGTTTGACTGATGAAAAGCGTTTATTCAACTATAACGTGTAAGTAATAACTTTAAAATTATTAAAACTTCTTAATATGATTTGACGGGACGGGACGGGACTTAATATCCTTTGTGTTATATGTAGCTATGTATGGTAATCATCAACGGGTCGTGGGTTCGACCCCCACTGAGACCATGTTCTTAATGATTTTATAATTTTCCTGAATATATGTCGGACTTTGTCTGGAAATCTGGATATTAAATGGGTGGTAAGAATATCGAAGCACGGAGGTCACGAACCACCGTCCACAAATGACAAACCCGTCCAGTTTAATCGCGGTTTAGTGTGTGGATTTCCGAATATCCAAAGCCAAAATAGGTCGACAGTGCAGTCATGTTTACATGTTATATGGGGTGGGGTGTATAATTTAAAAATATTTACCTTTCGGATAAATCCTCCCTTTTAACAACACCCCCCACGACACGGGCCAATGTGCAATACCATGTGAAAAATATTAAAGTTTTCAAAGCAGTAACTGTCATCAAACGATTGCTAATATTTCTGACACGATAGTAATACAAACTATATAAATATTAATCACGAATTTAACGACTTATTTGAATCTTTATGCAAAATGTCGGGTCGTGGTTAAAAGTACCTTACCATGCAATACGAGTTTAATTCCGTTTAAGTTGCGTCACATTAACACCTAAGTATTACTATTTCCATAATTAATGAAGTGGCATTGAAATATCCGGGGATAATATAAAACATATTATTCCGGGACCCGTCACAATGGGCGGCTAATCCCCGCGCAGTCATTGTGTCCAAGTGCGATAATTTCAAATTATAAATTTTACAACAGCATCATGTTTGCCCGCTATAGTTATCAAGTAAATTGGATTTTGTGCAAATGACGCTTCCAGCCGGAGTAATTAATTATGATTGACGCGATTTTAACTTATTTATTACTTTGTTGGACTTTGATGAGCGTTTTAAGCTTAACATAGAAATATAATTTGTGTAATAGACTTTATAAAAATAATTATTAGTTGATGTTTTACGATTCAGAAAACGGTATATGTCTTTGCAACACAAGTTTTGAAATTGTTTTTTTTAAATACTGTCTAAGTTTACGCGAGTAGTACACATTTAAATAAAACACTTTAACGGTTTAAAACGGAATTTTAGTTAAACTTATTTGAAAATGATTTTTAACTTCGGCCCGCGTTTCGGCCTTCTTTTTTTTAAAGTATCTATAGTAATATTATATCATTATTAAGTATAGTTTGTTTGTTTGGAACTACTGGATCAAATGGAACAATTATTTTTGACTAAGAAAGACAATCTATCGAGGAAGGCTTTAAGCAATAAACATCACGATCTGCGACCAATAAATGTCAGCGTATGTAACTGTCTAGCTTTTAAGACTAACCAAATTTAGTTCGTTTTGTTAACTTCTTTTGCTATTTATAATTTTCAAGTGACCTGTGGCAATACGATGCGAGTTATTGAATCATTACCCTGTTTTTACTCGATGTTAAAAAAAAACGAATAAGGAAATAAAAGGTGAGGCCAACTTCATTTACTGGTAGTTAACGAATAGTGCTGTAAAAGATTACAAAATCAATATCCAAATTGCCATAGCTCCTCTCTCCTACAAAGTGAACAGGAATAGAGGGCCAGAGGTAAGTCAAAGAGAATATTGAAAGGAGAAAATGGGCATTCGATAGATGCCGTGGAAACGCTACGTATAGCACTTATTCAGTTTTTTCAGTTTTCACGGTAATGCCTTTAAAACGAGCCTTATGAGTTTCAAACGTTTTGGGTAAACGTATTCAAATCAAATTATAATTCTCTTACTGGCCGTCTCTGTAGCTAAATGGTTAACGTGTTGCTTTGCATGTCATTAATTGCGAGAGGTCCTGGGTTCGAATTCCGGGGAAACAATAGACCGTTTCGGGTAGGGCACAGTCTAATCAAGAACTTGCTGTAAATAAAATCGATTAGTGAAACATACACAGAAAAATGTCTGCCCCATCACGGTGACGGAATTTCAAAATGAAAATAAAACGCGTGCTAGATAAAGTGATTTTTCGTTTCCTTATTTGTTCTTCGAGTGGTTTTCCTTCTTATGCATGTAAAAGAATAATAAAACATTTATAATGAATTCGAAATAATATGGATATAAAAAAGGAGACCTTATCGTCTATAGTCGATTTCTTTCAAGCTTTGCTTAAAGGAAGGAGAAACGAAAAATCGCTTTAGAATTCAAACCTTCGAATTAGCAACGCGTTAAACAACAGCTACTGATGTTAGAAATACTTGACAATCCTTTAATTGTTAGACCCCCTAAGTATATCCCGACCGTGCGTTACGTCAACAATACGATTTCTTCCACAATTTCGACAACCAAAACTCGTACTGAGGCTACCGGTTACCAATTACGTTAACGACGCGCGATGGATGGCTCCAAAAATTTCAGCGTCATTCGGTTTCCCACCGTCAATCTACATTAAACCAGAAACGAGCAGCATAAGAGCAATGAATCAATCATGTGTGCAAATGAGACTCGTTCCGCGTGTGGGTTTAAAAAAAAAAAAAAACCAATTTTTTAAATTTTTTTCCCGCGGCCGGGGGGGGGGCCCCCCTTTTTTTTTTTTTTTCCCCTTTTTAAAAAAAAATTTTTTTTTTAAAAAAGGAAAAAAAATAAAAAAATTTTTCGACTCGGGCAGGACTTAAACCGGCATCGTCAGGTTCCGGGGGGGGGCCCCCGGTTCCTCCCCCTCCTCGGCGAATTTTTTCAACTTATTGATACATGCACATCTCGCGCAAGGCCCGAGACGAATTTTCTTTCAATTTATTTTATTCGATTTTTAAATTATATAGTGCCTTCATGTGCAATAACATGTAAAAAAAATATAAAAGTTTTCAAACCTATGTTATTTTTAAATCCAACATTTTAACGGTTTAAAACTCGATATATATTAGGTAAAAATATTTAAACTACGGCTCGACGTATTATGTTTGCAGCAGCCGTGGTCACGGGCCGCCCAGTTTAAAATCGATATAGTGTTTTCTTTAAATTTGTACTACTCGCGTAAACTACAGACAGTGTCTATGTAATGTTATTTCAATCGTAATATCTTCCTTCTGGGAATGGACCTTATTCCCTTTTGAAGGTGTTGGGCTTTAAGAGCTTAGAATCTTAGACCCACGTTACGCTGCTCAAGAGCTCAGGAAGTACTGTTTCGAATTTGATAGACCGTAGACAGTGTATTAAAGAATCATTTCCACTTAAACGATCACACGATAGTATTTGTCTATCAAATTTGATCAATTAATGTATTATTATTTCTTGGAGTTATATTTACATAATACATATTAATTTTGGAAGGTCAGCAGCATTTTCCGGATCATCTAGTTTGTTATATATAATGCGAACTCAAAATATCAAGTGTCAAAGAATATTAAAACTTTTGAATACCCTGTAGTAACACTATTGTACCAACCTGGTCAAAGGCGCCGTCACATAATAAGTGTAGAAGAAGATGGTGAGCACAGAGAGCAGCATGACTCCAGCCACGCATTTCCTCACGTTGACGTGACTCGCGAGCCAGAAGCAACATCTCGGCGCCGTCGTCTTGTGCCCGTGCGCATATTCCCCGCACTCCAGCAGGGGCGTGCGCGCACAACGTCCCTCCATAATTAATATACACACCTCTATATTTACACACAACACTTAGGCCTCTAAAAGTAACACACTATACTCTATCTGGGAACTCTAACGGCCGCGTTTGTCCTCGGTGATTTCTGTCGCCACTTGCAGTGCTTCCACATTTCATAGCAGCGCTGGGTGGTCGGAACGCGCTCGTCCGCTGAGCAAGCGCGCGGGCTGACGGCCATCTCGCGACGAACGGATCGGTTGCCTGTTCAAAATGGCCGCCGACGCATTTTGGCGGGTTGTGCTCATCACGGCGACGGCGGGAGCTCCCACGGCCTCGAGCTCACGGCATCCGTGGACTGAGATCAGGGGCTAACGATCTCATCGGTTTTGACTGAAACAAAAGAACATCGATTTAGCATGGACAGCCTAGAATTTAGTTAATTACTATCGATCCGGTACTTGAACACTAACAATACATAGAAGTACAATGACAGCAGTCATTTTTTATGACAGACAAGGACAGAGAAACAGTTGATGGTAGGTGAAATACCAACCATGTAACATCTATGGAAATCCACAGAGTGTAACCTAAATGCGATTAAACTTCACGGATTTTTTTTCCTTTGGACGGTGATTGACCCGGGTGGAATTTCAATATTCATACCACCCATTTTATATGCAGATTGCCAGACAAAGTTTAACATATTTTATACAAATTATATATTGATTTCAAACATATTGGACGCGGTGGGAATCGAACCGACGCCCCGTTGTTTATAAGCATTATACTACTCGTAAATATCCCGTCAAATAATTATAACAATATATGAAACATCCTAATAACATTATGAGAGTCATTTCATCTATTCTGTTAAGATGTGACTGATGTTTTAATTACAAAACGTAACGTACTCTATTTTTCAAATCACATAGCCTAGTTCGTATTTATTTATATACGTTCTACGTCAATCAAGATAAGCATTATGCGGGATATTCAAAACAGTGATACATACTACAATGAATATTACACGAGCACAATATATGCATAATATTATAATGGGAATATATCCTCCGAGTTACTTCAAGTTAGTCGAAACGTGAAAACTTGGGTCGGGCGCGCGCCACCTACAATCCCGACCTTCGTGTCATTCGAGCGAAGGCTTATATTGAAGTACTCCTTGCCGAGTTTGAAATAAATTCATTCAGCTGTTAAATTGGACCGGCGAACCTCAAAATTCTGGATTAAATTTGATTAAAAAGTAAAGTAATGAATGCGAAATCGGGTTGCGAACAGACATTACGCAATACGCGAAAAATGTACCGCCGTACCCTTGGGTGTCGGTGATAAATGGGCTACTAATTTCAGGATTTATCCGTTTATCTATCGCTTGAAATTTGAACTGGTAATATGAGTGCATATTTCATTGGTTAGTTTCAAACGCGGCGTAATAAATTTCGCACCGCATGAAGTTTTGTAACTGAAAATGCATTTGGAATTGCCTCGTGTTTTTGTGCCTCATTCGGAGAGCTTCTGAATAGCCGTACGTTACTCTATTAGGTGGCTAAAAGGGAGGTTTCGAGAGCTCGTTCAGTCTCCGTGGTGGATTCGGAACGCGAGCGGAATCCATGATCGTGGCGGCCCTTTGAATATTAACTAGCAGATGACCTGCTCCCAACCAGGGCACATTTCTACCCACAACTGTCTAGAGATTCATTTCATTGCTTAATTTCATTTGAGATTTTCAACTTTAAATGTTTTAGTGAACAGTTAAATTTTAGGATTCATTAGGATTAGATAAGCGAGAACGGTATTCACTCGACTGTAGTTAACTAAGACTTTGAATATAATGTTTGAGACTCCATTGACCCTTAAGGGGGCATGGGGCAAACGTGTGTTTGTGTCCGTTTCATTGATCGTACAGGCGTTTATGAGACCTCAATGGTACCCTATCAGAACAAAACATTGTTTAATGTGCAATAACATGTAAAAAATATTAATGTTTTTTCAAACAATTCATTGTTTTTCTGGAGTACGAACTCAGGACTTCATTCTTTGCAATGTTAGGCAATACGCTGAGATACGAACGAGGCTAGCGGTTAGTTTTCACAGAGTTTGAGTATACAGTATGGACAGTGGTTTTACCTGTCTAACATAATTGAGTAGAAATAAAACCCTTACTTTTTCAATATTCTGTAACCAGCCTGTATCTTAGTCTTAGCCAAGTTGGGGTACAGTTGAAACTGGAATTAATTAAATATTTTTTCATCAGTTTGGTCATAAATAGTTTGACTCCAAAAATAATACTATATACAACGGGTTACTTAGCCGCCATGTTTGTTTGAGCAACACTAGGCGCAAGGTGCGTCATTTCAAACTGGACAATCTCAGATGAAATCCTTGAAATTTATCTCAGTGCACAGCTTGGGCGAAAAGGAGTAATTAAAGTTCTTAATTAAAGTAAAAAAGGCGATGTCGAGGGCGGGGCGATAAGACGCCTGGGAAGTATTATCGTTAAACTACGTGCAAGAAGATACCGTTCTTCTATGTATTTTGAAGTTTGTAAGGCGTATCGTTCTGGTGTTATTTCAAAATAGCGGAGGACAGATATGTATGGGGGTTACATATTTAACCAATAAAAGTATTTTAATTCCGAACAAATCATTAATAAACATATTCAAATCCTTGTTAATTATAACAAAAGAAATCAGAATTATGAATTATTAAAAATTAAATAACTAATTTTATAGTTAAAAAATATGTACAGCAATTCTCACTGCTTATTTTGATTAAAAATAAATTAAATCTAGGGCAAGTAATTTAATAACAAATTATAAGTAAATAAAAGCATAATTGTGAACTTGCCCGAAATGGTTTATAGGAGATTTTTCAAATACGAATATCCAAAACCAAAATAGGTCGTTAAAAAATAAGCAATATGCTTTACGTTTTAAACAGTTAAAAGTGTTGATTAATTATTTTATTCTTATGATAGGTCCATCATCATACGTTTTATGATTATTCAGTTGATTAAAAACTTTTTGCATAACACTGCCATCAAAACGCTCGACGCTAAAGTTTTTAAGTTCGTCCCAACAGTGGTGTAAAGCCCTCGCAAAACTTCAGACGAATAACCGAAGTATGTAGATTGTAGATGGCCCTTTACGATAACGCCGCTTCGTCAATTCGTATCAGAAGACAATGCTTTCACGGAGGTGTCGTCGCAACTTATTATAACTTTCCCAGTTCGCCACACCTCGTCTACCCGCATCGGATATCCGAAAACCGTCGTTAACACGGAACTTGCATAACATTGGGGTTCATTTCTAATATATAACGTACACAATGTTGGTAATTTCGTTGGATATTGCGGTCGAAGTTTCTTAGTCGATTGGGGCACTCTTAACAAGTTGAGTCATCAAAAATAATTGCTACTTATAAACCGTGTCTATAGTTTAAGCGAGTAGTAAACATTTAAATAAAACACGTTAACGGTTTAAAACGCGATATATTAGTAAACCTTGTTTGAAAATGATTTTTAACTTCGGCCCGACGTTTCGGACGCTTTGCAGCAGCCGTGACCACGGGAATCAAAGCAATATTTCAAATAAGTTTAACTAATATATCGCGTTTTAAACCGTTAAAGTGTTTTATTTAAATACGTATAACCTTCAAATAGTATCCAAAGGTAGACCTCAGATTTTCTAGGTTCCTAACAAACTGGCCAAATGCAGGTCATATTTAAAAATATGTCGACTCAAAATGATTTGTAAAAGTTACGTTAAATTAGTGTTATAACTAGACAGATATATGAGGCCGCTAGATGAAGAATGGCTTAAAATAACACGATGTTCAATAAGGAGAGAAAAAATGCCCAATTAATTTATGCGAACATGATTTTGTACTACTATATTTTGTGTAAAAATTTTCGGTCACTGCGCTTTTGTAAATGAACATTTTTAGACTATGAAAATATAAATAAGTCAATTGCAGTTAGGCTACTCTGCATCTAGCGGCCTCATATACCCTCTAATACTTTTTCTCACTAGTCTCACCGTAGCAGTTTGGACTTTGAAATTTAGTAGTTAGTAATAAGAAAACAATTGTCTAATATATTTTCTAAACAGTTAACATGTATTGTTTATACGAATATTGACTAACAAAAGCGAATCTTACTTCAAAACCGTGACACGTGCCCACGTCAATGATTACCCATTAATAGATAAGTTTTGTCAAACGAATTTTGCGCTACGTTAAAGGTAATACCTATTTGTATTTGTGTCACGTCCTCCATATATATAATAATAAAATGAGTATAGGTACTACACCTATACACATGTGTATAATAAATTAAATGAAAATGGAGGGGTTGTATGCTTATATTCATAGTCTATAGCGTTTCTGCTCTATAACTTCAAAATTATTCATAATAACTAAGTTTAAAACATTATTATTTTCCACATATTACCTTCACATTATTTTTTTTTTAAACTAGACTAGAATAAAACTAAACTTATAGAAAAGGATATCAATATAGGTTTTTAATTTAAGAGAAAACAAAACATCGTTCATGATCAACGTTTATTTCTTAATAAAAGTCTATAGGATACTTTTAAACATTATCTATACTAATATATAAAGTTGCAGAGTTTGTTTGTTTGTTTGAATGCACTAATATCGGGAACTACTGGTTCGCAATGCGACTAATAGTATTGAAATAACAGCGGCAAATGTGGAAAAAACGGGGAAAGTTATTTATCTTTGTAGTTCTCCGATGCGTACCCAAAAGAGATATATAAAAGGAAGGACGCTTTTTTAATAATCTAACATAAACCCCAGGCGTATATATCTTTTAACTTGCAAAAACGACGGGACGCGATCGACGTCGTTGGTAACAGCTTAAGTTTATAAGGATGTAGTGGAGATTGGCAAAAAAAAGGCTGACACAGCTAGTGTAATAAGTCAATAGCAGGCTGTAAACATTATTAGAAAATAAATAGCTGTGCAAGTAAATGGTGACGTCATTAAGCAAGTGGTTCGC